ATATATATATATACGTTGTATCTATATATATATATTCTATATACATATATATCTATATATATATATACACATATATATATATACGTTGTATCTATATATATATATTCATATACATATATATATATATATATAAATAGATACAATTTTTAATAAAAATGCATATTCAAAAACATAATAATATATATGTATAGACATACATATCGATCTATTCACATACAAACATACATGAGTACAATTCACACGATCACGCTCACAAAAACCATACAGACACCTACAGATACCTTTACTTTCCACACACGAATGTACTCACATCGTGAACCGAGCGCACGTACACATGCTAGGTTAATGTATCTCCGACATCACACTGTCCGTCATATAATGAATAATCTATACAGCACATCGGCCACTGCCATCACTACTTCACTCAAAAGACTGCGCTTAGTTTCCTATCTATCGATTCAATTCACTGAATCCGACAAACTCTGCAGAAGCGATTTGCACTCGCAATAATGATCAAAATGGTATAGAATCGATCGAGTCAAAGTAGAGTTCATTGCACCCTGAAAATGTATCTTAAGGTTGTTCTGCTTGTGTCTCTCTAGCGAGTCTAGCCTCCTAATACCTTGTGCTTGCGCTCAGTAGTCACTGCCAATACACGTCCTCCTGTATTGTTATGATCCTTTATATCATCGCATATGTATTCGATAAACACCACCGATACGTATTTACATATACGTAGTACCGTCCAACCGGCCAAGAATATTTGTACTGCGTGCTTATGTAGCGCTATATCTATATGCCGTTGGTACACACAACATTGATTTATCGTGCTGAGATACTGAGGGCAGAGCTGCGCCATTTGAAAGGGATTTGAAGTAGACATATACGCGCGTAAGGACTATTTTACAACTTCTGACATTGGCCAGCTGATATGTCTAGCACTATGTGGATATGTAGCATAAAGGCTTTTCTCAGTAGTAAATCCAAGGATCGTGGCAGCAGCTATTCTAAGAAGTAAAAACATAATATTATGGAGCTTTATAAGTTGTTAATGTGCTTGTGCTTTTGAGTTTTGTCCTAATGTGCTTGTGCTTTTGAGTTTTGTCATTTGTGAGAGATGAATAGAGGCTGAAGTGAGTCATCAGAGTCAGACCCAAATATGTATTATTTGCATCAAGCATCAAACTCCCATGTTGTGTACACAGCCTACCAAACCAAAGAGTAAACGTTGAGCGTAAATATAAATTGTATGTACATAGTTATTGACTTTATATTGTAGTGTTTATTTAAATACATAAGAGTAGACAGAAAAAGTAGAAATGAACAAGGCCCGACGGGCGACGGGCCGAAGACGTACATACAGTCGTATACTCTGCACATTGGACATTGTATTGATTTTTACGAATTTATATATGCGCGTGACGTGCCAGGTTAGGACCAATCAATATGTCGAAAAAAATCATACGGACCAAGAGATCTTAGATCTATATGCGTTCAACCTTAGCCTTCAGTTCTTGGGTTTTCATATTTTATTTCAATTTTGTGCCGTTCCTTTATGGTCTATAGAATATAAAACGTAATATTTATATAAATTATGCTACACATGTCCAATATACAAATATAAAAGGTCTCATCACTGTTACCTTATGATAACCGCAGTACTACAAGTGCATTAAATCTTATCCAGTCCAAGTCCCATTTTTTTAATACAGTCGTATCGTTAACGTATACCCCAGTGATTGCAAGCGCTGGCCACTTGTAAGCGCCAAGTATAGCTCTTATCTTTGAATCGAATACTATGTCCATTTAGGGTGGTCTATTCCTCTTGATCGTTGCTGCACCAGTGATATATACACAGAATCGAATAGTATGTCTATCTAGGGCCGACTATTCATTTTAATTGTCGCGTGGGTGACATATACACACATATTGCCGTCATGTCTTTATACCTATGCGCTGTTCTAGTACTGGTGGCTTCACTGTGCAATGGCCAGGCGTGCCAACAAACGCAGTCCACATGTGTGTTCGATCATGGAACCCTTCTCACAGTAGAGCAACTGGGGCTATGCCTGAATACGCTCACACTCCCTCAAATAGACATGCAGACTTACGTACAGCAAAGCCTGGCGTTTTACAACCGAACGTTGTCCGAGCACTACGCATTCGCCGATATAAACAACGATTCACAAGATTCTGAATCGAATCTCTCGAGTGCATATGACAAACTCGGGTGGGGGGAGAAATACAACGTGACATCACCATGGCAACATGATTTAAACTCTCTACTGAATGCCAACATGTCGAATGTGTTTGATTTCCAGTCAGAGTTGTTTCAAATAACGCAGAGGAATCTGGATGATCACGTGTTCCTGTCCTCAGCCTCGCCATTCTATCTTCTGTTGCCATACATCTTGGGCCAAAGAGTCAATGCAGATGGTGCACAAGAGTTCTATGTAGTCCTTCGAAACGACTTCAGTTATTGGCTGAGAGATTGTGGGCACGAGGGTGCTATGTCGCAGGGTACCGAGGGCAAGACCATCGCACGGGTGAACGGCAAGCCTGCGCTTGAGTACTTCACGGATATTGCCGCCGAAAGGGTCACTTACAAGCATGCTGGTGTAAGACTGAACAATCTCATCATAGTAAACATGCAGGTCAACGCCGTTGGTGTGCCTGGTTTCCGCCAGAACCCCACAGACGCTGTGAAACAAACAATCGAGTTTTCCGATGGGACAACATCGATTGTGCAACCGGTTGTGTATGTAGCGGAATATACCTTTGGATCGGAATCACTCGTCGAGACTATGATGGAACCTACATCATATTACGAGTCAAGGCTTGTTGACTACTACACACCGGGGGATGAGACAGCGATCACGAATGTCACTACAAGGGACGACGCCCGAAGAGCGGATACGAAAGTCGGGTACAGCTCTCGTCGCAACCTCCAGATGTCCAACAAACTACCGGCAGGAATAGTATGGGGTGACTTATACGCTTCTTTCTCGGAGGATAGAAAGCCCGATAGTTCTGAAATGGCCACGCCTGTTGTGGAAGAGATTAACAAAGATAAGAAGCGGAGGCAGCCTGACAGCTCATATCCAATGGAGGGTCTATACCTACAAAACTCCGTGGGCGATATACTCGCCAATGACAACGCGATCATAGTCAAGTACCCATCCTTCTTCAGCGATGGCCAGCCGCCCCGACAAGCAGTACTGGATAGCATGGAGCTTCTTCGACATGCTGTGGAGTTGGGTGAGCGGCTGCAAATATCGCGCGTTGTGTTCGATCTCACAAACAACTTGGGAGGCCACGAGTACATAGCGTACGCTTGGGCGACCGCGCTGACATACACCTTCACGGGAAAGAACGATACGAGGGTGTGCTCTGCGCTTGATCTCCGAATGGGTCCGTTGGTGACGGCCTGGGCGAACTTGACATCCGAGCCACCGCAGAATGTCACGTCTGTGTCTGATGTCGAACTCTTCGCCTTCGCGATTAGCGTGCAGCAGTTCACCAACTTCCTTGAAGCGATCGACATCGACTTCCACGATCAGTTGACAGTTCATATGCGCGATGCTATGCTGAGTAACAATGGGTTTCTGAGTAATGGTGGCGAAGGGCTTTTCAGTACTGAGGCGCTGAGTGAGGCGACACCGGAACAGCGCGCACACACCATCAACACTTTCCGTATACTTCTCTACCGCGCCTATGTGGAGGTGTATAGGAAACAAATATCGGCTGTTGAGTTCTATGGCTTTGAAAGGGACCGAGCCTTCGACGGATATGCACATCAGTGGGGGAATTCATCTCAATGGACAGGCGTACTGCCCATTGCAATAGAGCCAGGTACTTATAGGGTAGACTACGAGAACAACCGATCGACATCGTTGAGTGATCATACGCTAGTTAATCTGCAAGACTATTTCTTTGCCTCCAGTCAGAAAGACCTCCTCCGCGGAGGGGTTTGGGGCACCTACACAGAACGTGCGATGCACCAGAAATGCACCGCAGCGGTCCAAAACTTCGCCATGGTGGACGACTGGCCCACCTTTGCATTCCGGGACGTTCGGTTTCTATCCAACGGCATTTGTGGCTCTTCCTGCGCCATGTTCGTCAACGCAGTCACAGCCATCGGCAAAAACGCCGCGCCCGATGTCACGCCTGGGCTGACTGTGACCTCAGTCACATACGGAGGAATCCAAGGACAACCCATGACCGGTACGCAGTTCCCAGGCGGCAATGTGGAGTTCTCGTCATCATGGTACGAGCGCCTGTTCAACGCACGCGCTCTGCTGGATCCCTTGTACTTGCACGTGGGCCCAAACAAGGACGAGAATAGGAAGAAATACGATGTGATCAAAAGCCTGACACCTCTCCCACGGTCTGCGGGGGTGTACATGAGCTTCACCAACCACGAAGTCTATGAGATATATGCGGGCAAGGACTCGCTGCCGACCGAGTTCTATGACAGTCCCAGCGATGTTAACTTGAACCTGACCTTGCCGCCTATAGAGTATGCTAATGACGCGTACCTGTACAGTGAGGAATACGATGCCATCCACCAGGCTGCATCGGCCGATATGGTATAACGTGCTGACCACAGGCTTGAATGCGTGGCATGTCGCATGTTGGTCACCGGCAATAAGAACTGAGTTCGAGTTTTGGTGATATGTCGTATATGGTTCGTGGTCATGGCTAAACCCCATCTCTTAGTATATACTAGTTTAAATAAATTACGGGCTGCGCCTATAGAGCCACAGTGCCGGCGCCCACTTTTGATACGGAATGCAGTTGCTCACTTATTGTGTTTTGATAACGGCTTTCGAAAGAAAATTGAGGCCGATTATTCTTGACCGGGATTATCAGTTCAAAGTTCCGAGATGTCATACACTTTAAGTTCACTGGACTTCACTTGGTGAAAGTTCGCATGAGGTGTGTCGCTGTTCACTGTTCAATTACTACAGTTGTACCAGCGGGAGGGGTTGGGTCAAAAAGGACTTGCCAAAGCTACCATGTGCGTAGGTTGTATAGTGTAGTATAATATGCGAAAGAATTTGGTGATCTCATTTCGAGGCTTTGGACCAATTGTCTCCGCAAACTTGCTAAGTAAACTCGGCACTCTATAATTGTGCTCCAACTGATAGACACTAAAGCACTTCGAAACACAAATAGCTTATACATACACCAAGGATCTTTACAATAGCCACATAAACCGATAATGTTTATAATAACCGCGTCAAAAGGTACTTACTATGAAGAACAGCAGTACTTCAAGTCATGCCAATCCGCAGAATATCAATAGTTGATATAGCCAAATGTTGAACACGGATTAGGAAAAGTAACAGTAACCTACAGACGTCCACCAAATCTAGCCCAACTGCTTATGACGAAACGATACAAGGCAGAGGATCCACACCTAGACTAGCACGCACCCGTACACACGTACACACACACACGTGTACACACATACACAAACAGACACAAACACACA